TACCAGTACCAGTACCAGTAGTAGTAGTAGTAGTAGTAGTAGTAGTAGTAGTAGTACTAGTAGTAGTAGTAGTAGTAGTAGTAGTAGTAGTGGTAGTAGTAGTAGTAGTAGCAGTAGTAATTCGCAGTGGTTGTAGTAGGCCGCCGCCCTGGTAATGGTAGTGGCTGTTGTTGTTCGTGGTCGGTGTGGTCGTACTGGTCACAATGGTGGTAGCAAGGTGATTCGTAGTGGTGGTAGGAGTAGTAGTAGTAGCAGTTGTAGTGGTCGTCGCCGTCGTCGTAGGAGAAGGAGTAGGAATAGGAGCAGGAGTAGGAGTTGACTAGGACTAGGGCTAGGACTAGGACCAGTAGGTAGTAGCAGTAGTAGTAGTAGTAGTAGTAGTAGTAGTAGTAGTAGTAGCAGGAGGAGCAGGAGGAGGAGGACTACATGGCATGGAGTATGTAGCTTGATATCATATGATCTTGCTGTTTCTCTTCGTTCCGATCTTTATCAGGATCGGGGTGTAATGAGCGGATCACGACTCAACCTTGTTGCTGCTGGGCTGCCGTTGTCGTTGTAGGCTTTCGTTTGTGTGGTTGTTGTCGTTGTTGTTGTTGGTGGTGGTGCTGCTGCTGCTGCTGCTGCTGTTGTTGTTGTTGTTGTTGTTGTTGTTGTTGCGGTTGCCGTTGCCGTTGCCGTTGCTGTTGCTGTTGCTGTTGTTGTTGCTGTTGGTGGTGGTGGCGGCGGAGATGGTGGCGGCGGCGGCGGTGTTGTTGCTGGTGCTGTTGCCGATGTTGGTGTTGTTCATGTTGTTGCTGCCATTGAAGACGATGATGGTGACCAAGATGATGAACATCTTGTTGTTGCTGTTGCTGTTGTGGCTGTTGTTTGGTGGTGGTGGTGGTGGTGGTGGTGGTGGTGGTAGTGCCTGGCCGTGATGTTGTTGGTGGTGGGTGTGATTTTTGGTGCTGTTCTTGTCGTCGTCCTCCTCGTCCTGCTGCTGCTGCTGCTGCTGCTGCTGCTGTTGCTGTCATTTAGTTGTGCTGTAGTCGGGGTATCATCGCCCTTGCATCCATCCCTGCCGTCTGCATCAGAAGCATCCGTGAAGCATCATTATCATTGAGCTTAAGAGCCACAACATCTTCAGCACTGGTACGGCCAAGGCATCGCCAAAGGCGAGTTCACAGTGGAAGCAGACCGCGCGCAGGCAGTGGAGTTGTCACAGATGGCCTTGGAGAAGAAGATCCAGCACCTTCAAGAACGGGGTCCTTTGAGTCACCACCGTTTTTACACGGCCTTGTGGTTGAAGCTCCATGGAACACAGGGCAGAGATCTCCAGAGCTTCTTATCGCACTTCGGCTTTGATTCCTTGCAGGATGCGGCTAGAGACAAGGCAAGCATGAATGCCTTAATATGTGCAGTTTTCTCCGGCGATGCGGGCATGGTTCGCCTGCTTGCCGAAAGTCGTGCAGACACGAATCATGTACTTACGGGTTTGACGGAACTGGGGTATTATGACTCTGAGACGGCACTTATGGCAGCTATGAAGTCAGGGCAAGGACCAGAGGTCTTGACAGCATTGATCGAGCATCGTGCAGATGTCAATAAGAAGGATGGGCGGGGCCTGCCGCCCCTTTACATGAGTCGCACCCCAGAGCATGTGCAAGTGTTGCTGGACAACCGAGCCGAAATGCCACCTTTCGTTTTGGAAGGTCCCGCGGCTTTCGGTAACACGGAGACAGTTCAGGCACTTCTTGCCTACCGTTGCAATCCCAGTGAGGATCCTCGGGCTAGCCCACTGCATGCACTGTCCTTGCTCTCGCGGGGTAATGGGTGTGTGCTCGAGACTGCCAAGCTTCTCTTGACGAACCGAGCCGACGTGAATGCACGTGCGGCCCGGCCGAGTGACAACACCATGTGGCAGTATCATTCGGCCCGTGCTCAGGTGGCTGTCCTTGGCTTTACTCGCTGCAGCATGATGACCCGCTTGCAGGCCATCGCCCCGGGCATTTCGCCTCTGGGCTATGCCGCCTTGGTAGGGCATGAGCAGCTTGTGAGACTCTACTTGGAGCACGGAGCAGAGTCATACCCGAATGATGGAGGGGACCTTCCCGAGGATTTGGCGCGGAATAATCACCACTATCACCTTTTGCCGTTACTGGCGACCTTTGCCACGTAGATGCCAAAGAGCAGCCGGCCTCATCTATTGCGACGAAAATTCCGTCGAATAACAAGATAACAAGTGAGTTTTGAGTTTTTGTCTACGTTCTCCGCTTTTCGCAGCACCTTGGCGCCTAGCAAAAAGAAGTAATTTTCGAAGCGTTTGCGGACGAAGTGTGGCCAGGATCATGCGCTTCTTCTTAATAGTCTTATATAATAGTAGTCGAGTAGGTAACCACTAGTCTATTTAGGTACTATGGTATAACGGTATAAGTCTAGATTAACGGATAAGCTTAAGTCAGATAAGAGGCTGCACGCATAAGTCTGTCGTTTCATTAACTAGTTTGTTTGGAAGATCTGTTCCGGTGCCGCGAACCATTTGTGGCTCCGGAGGGAGAACTTTCCGCTTTGGAGGATCGTGGGACTCAGCGATCAGGTTGTAGCTTGAGGTCATGCGTAACATGGCTACTCGGAGAAGTCGCCCTACTACGTAGTCGTTTAACCTGTTTACTGCTATGCCCACTGATGCTTCACGTGCCTTTCTGTACGACTGGAGCCCTGTACGCGTTAGAGATTCAGCGACAGTTTAGTGCCTGCTGCTTTTGCCAATGCGTGACGTGAGACCCTAGACAATCTTATAGACCAAGCCAGACAACACCCAGACCTTAAACCTTCAAATCCGTGAGCTAAAACTTTGCCTAAACCCTAAACCTTAAAGTAGAATGCCATTAGGCCATAACGGACTGGTGCGAGGACCAGGCCATCGACCGACTGCACCGCTTGGGCCAACGTCGCCCTGTGCGTGCCCTCCGCTTCGTTGCAGAGCGAACAGTGGAGGAGCTGACTCTGCCTCCGGGTTGCGGGGTTTAGTGTTCGGGCTGTCGGGCTCCAGGGTTGTAAGGTGCAGGATTTATGTTTGTGTTCAGGCTTTACACGGGATGGCATGGCAGTGTTTAGCGCTGAACCCAAGCCGCTTTCGAGAAGGATGCAAACCCTTGCCTGGTTTTGAGGCGGCAACAATGGCAAAGCACACATACACGCATGCATGAATACACCGATAGTTACATGGTTACATACATGCACACCATACTCACCTGCATGCCACAAAAGCGTCCAACCACCGATCGTGGTAGTCGTCTTACCTGGTAATAGTTGCGAAGTTACTTGCCAATTGCCTCTCCGCTTGAGTCCATGTCAGATGCGAGCATGCAGTGATGCTCAGAAGACTCGTGTCGGAATTTGGCACAGTTGGTCAAATTATATTCGTACACAACGTTCGTTGCGCGCACTGCCGCGCAAAGACGGACATGTCACCAAAGCAACAAAACTAGAGTGACCCCCACATAGTTGCGAAGTGGCGTGGAGTACAGTTCGAACCATCGCAATCCTAGAGGCCCAGACCCCATACCAAAAAGCCAAGCCTGGGCCCGAAGCCATGCAGCATAATTCTACATATCATAATATCTTAAATTGAACTTAACTATACTTGTTGATGTATAGTGAAGTAGTATATAGTACAATATAGCAGAAGAGGTTGCAAAGAACAGGTCGTACGACGGTCGTATGGCCGATGGTGGGGCGTGCTTGGCATCCTATGTCGGGCAAGGTTCTATGTTCCTTGTTAGTTTGAGCTACCAAAAGTCGACCAGCTAGAAGCCTCCCAGGCAATTAACCAACTAGGCACTCAGGCCTAGACCTAGACCCTTGATTAACTTGAGAGTTCCCACATCCCGTGCCGTCGGCCTGCATGCATGTACGCATGCATGAGAACATGCGCGTACACACACATATATATATATATATAGTATAGTGACGTGTTAGTCTACCTTTAGTTTACAGTGGAAAAGAGGCCGAGGTAGGTCACGGGCGGGGGGGGAGTGTTTATATATATATATATGTATGTATGTATGTATGTATGTATGTATGTATATATACATATAAGCTCATGTTTACACATCTTTGGTTATACAGATGTATGTGCGTACAAAGATGCACATACACATGCATATTCACAACATTTGTCTCTTTATGTTGGTGCGATTCTAGAAATATAGTTTTTATGTTCACACACTTGTGGATTCATTAATGTGAACAAATATCTTATTATATGTGCCAATATACTCCCTTTTTACAAACTAAATATTCTTATTTCTTCATGCAATAGGTGTGGGCTTGTTAGAGCAGCAGAAGCACGCACAAGCAGGAGCGTATCCTGGATGTGCAGAAGCAGAAGCGGGCCATTGTTGAAGGAGCTCTTTCCAAGAAGTCTCGCAGCTCCGCGGGGTTTACGGCTCTAGCTTTGGGGCTGTAGCTTCGCGTGGGCTTTCGGTGTTGTGAGAAAGTGCTGGTCATGAAGCCGCCAGAAATGTTGAAGCTTGAACCTTGCCGAGTCCTCCCACTAAGCACTTTAAGGCTGCGACCCTTCCCTGCCATAACTTGTTGGGACTTGACGACTTAAAGCTGTTGAAAGTATTTAGAGCTTGAGCTCAGCATCAGCGGTGTCGAGGTTGTCGGTTGTAGCACCCTGTGGTCAGAGCATGTAAAGTGCTGGGCTGAGGATTTATACAGGGTCTTAACAAACAGCAATCCCATCGCCTTATGACGTTATTATGGCCTCTGTCTGAGTACACTGGCATAGACCCGAGGTGACGAGATTCAGAAGATCCGCTTGGAGATGATGGCTTCCATCTTTGAGCCGCTTTAGTGGGCCTTCGAGCATTAGGGCTTAGGGTGTTTAGGCAGCTAACGAAGCTGCCAGCATGATTTCAAGCCTCCGGCAGCTTAGAACAGAGAATAGCAAGGGACCATCCAAGATCTTCAACCCCCAACCTTAATTGGGACTACAAGGTTTATGGTTTATATATATATATATACATACATACATATATATATATATACAACTGGGACTACAAGGTTTATGGTTTATATATATATATATAATTGGGACTACAAGGTTTATGTTTATATGATGAAGACATGCAGCCCCTGTGCGGGGCAGTCTGTTTCCAATCGCTGAGACTCGGTGAAGAGTACATTTCACTCTATCACAGCACCGTAGTCCCGAAGCTTTCTGCGGAGTGTGCGGACGTATACTCGGAGCCACATCTGTAACCCCAAGCAGGCTTGTTCGGAAGCCAACTGCATCGCGACATGTACTTCTATAGCCAGCTAGACGCCCTTCATCGCCCTGCTTAAAACTACTCATGAACCTCCAGGAAAGTCAGGAAGGGAGCTCTTCTGCTAGACCATACCATACCTCACTAAACTACACTAAACTGTACTATACTAGACTAGACTATACCATATTATGACTATGACATAATATATTATATTTCATAAAGGGGCAGTGGTAAGATCGCACAGAGCTCTGTGTAGAATTGGCTCATGACCTGCTCGCGACAGCTTCCACTACGCGGCTGCCCAGGGCTTCGTGGCCCTGAACCCGAAACCTTTAAACCCTAGACCTTACCTATGGTTCTCCATTGTAGTTCCTTGTTGGGGATAACTTATAAAATGCTGAATATATATATATATATTCGGTTAAACCAAAAAATGGAACTACAATGGAGGCTATAGGTAAGGAGTGTTTTAAACGGATATGGATGGATAGTTTCTCTCAGCCATGCCTCAACACGAAACTCCGAGATGCGTCCGGCTTCAAGCGCGTCTGTGGGGGAATCGCAGCTGGACAAAAAGGGTTCGGATACGCAACGTCTCTACACCTCAATACCTGAAGCCTAGCCCAAACACCCTTACTAGTCAAACACTCAAGGGCACTGAGGGTTGTGTTAATTACGGTGTAAAATAGGGGCCTGAATTAATAATTAGAATAGCGTTTTGGGGTATACTATACTATAACTATAATAACGAAGCCCCAAACTAGTACAGGTAGTTATAATTCAGGCCCTTACAGTATATCCACAGAGTCGAGTGAGGACGTCCGAGTGTGCTCCGCGGGGCGGACGACGGGGGTCAGCGAACGCGAAGCTCTCTGGTCCCTTGGAGAAGCAGCTGTAAGACTTCACAATTGGAATAGGGTTTCGGGGTACATTATGATATGTTTAACAAGGAGCCCGGAAATGGTATGTCGAGGTCATTATTCAGGTCAATATATAGGGTTCTATCAGCGGGTGTATCCCATGGATGCTTTCTAAAATTAGGGGTGCATTTTGGGCCGTCCTCATTTGCTTCACGAGGTTTTGCCAAACTTACTGTAAGGGTTCTTGGTGTGTGGTCCCCATTTGCGACACGAGGTCAATTCGGGAGATTGTTGCAACTTAAGGAGTCTGGGCGGTCCTCGTTTGCTTCAAGACGTTTGTCCATTCGGGGGCTTCTATTCTAAACCCTAAACACTTGTTCAATGTATCACGCCGACCAGATTCTGTGAGACCTCGCTTGGCATGTCCGAGTAGTGAGAGCCTATAAACCCTCAACCCAGGGTCCGTTTTGGGCGGTCCTCGCTCGCTGCAAGAGCTCTATTTGGGGGATCCGGGGTCCGTACCACCAGGGATTCCTGGTAGGTTCTTAAGTAGTGCCTTTTTTGCCCTTTTTACTGTATGGTTCCTTATATTTATATCTCAATAACAGGAAAAATGGTACCCTTATTATTAGGGGCTCACTCAGGAACTTAGCCTTTCCCGGAATCCTACTCCCGAAGTCTATTGATCCTGGTGGCCTATAGGCCCGGACAAAGCTCATAAGAAGCGTCTCAGCACACAAAAGAAAGCAAAACGACCCAGATAGTGCAAAACCCTGAACCATTGTTATCCTTGGTCGATGACGAGGAGATATTTCGGCACCTGCACCCTGTCCAGCACAACATAGTGCCTTTCAAAGCTAGAATAGGGTTGTGGCGTCCATCACGCTAGAGTTATTTTTTGTTAGTATCATCATTAAAGGACAATGCAGGGATAATGTGATAATGCATTGAAACTGCTACGCTGAATGAGTCGCATTGCTCTGTTGCTATTCATCCTTTCATCCAAAACTGCCGAGCTGGATTGTGGGTCATTAGTAGAT